TAAATATTGACTTTATCTTTACTAGTGTGCTCCCCCTCCCCCACCTCCCCGGAGTACCATGATAGTAAGTGAATTCTCCTGTCATGAGAGAGGCGGCTCGCAGGGGGAGTTACCCCGAAGCACACAAGATATACTGCAAGTGGTCTGAACGTGGCCGGAATCCTATGACGTCAGATGGGTTGGGAGCAGAGAGAGGTGAGAGAGAGCGAGAGAGAGGGAGAGAGAGAGAGAGAGAGAGAGAGAGAGAGAGAGAGAGAGAGAGAGAGAGAGAGAGAGAGAGAGAGAGAGAGAGAGAGAGAAAGACAGAGAGAGAGAGAGAGAGAGAGAGAGAGAGAGAGAGAGAGAGAGAGAGAGAGAGAGAGAGAGAGAGAGAGAGAGAGAGAGAGAGAGAGAGAGAGAGAGAGAGAGAGAGAGAGAGAGAGAGAGAGAGAGAGAGAGAGAGAGAGAGAGAGGAGAGAGAGAGAGAGAGAGAGAGAGAGAGAGAGAGAGAGAGAGAGAGAGAGAGAGAGAGAGAGAGAGAGAGAGAGACGCGGTCGCTTTTTCCTCTAAGTCTGCAGACAGATTGCGTCGAGACGACTGTCGACCCCATAAATCTGGTAGCGAAAAGCGTAAAATTATACCCACCTGGGCTCAAAATCGCACACCACGCATGCACGCGCACGTAAAAACGCACACGCACACACACTCACGCGCACACGCACAAACACACACACCAGTGGTATTTACATCAAGCGTGACTGAGATAGGACACACGAGAGCTTCAAAGTCATACATGGGATTACAAACAAAGCAAATGAACTTGGAAAAAGGTCACAAGAGGACAACCCGGATATAATAGCACTCACTGTATCGAAATTGTCTGAGGGTGAGGAGAGAAGCAGAAAGACAGTTCGAAAATGACAACAAATAAAGCAGAGCCCCAACCCATGTTGCTGGTACGCAATAACTCACATGACCGAAGCTTCTTCACTCACACCACATGGAAGAAACATGGAAATAGGTCAGTTTCATAAAGAACTGGCAACTACGTTAACGTTACTGAGGAAACAATAACCAACGCAACCCAACTAAGACATGGAGGACAAGCTAGAGATAGAAGGAGATGACTGCCACGTGGGGAAGAAAGAGAGTGCAAGTAGCAGTTAGAAATTCTAAGCCGAATTTAATAGATTTGAGTGAATTTATTAAGATACTACCAGGAGGGCGATCCGGACTAAGCAGGTAAACAGTACTGGAACTCAAGAACAGGATACAAGTCTTATATCCAGGAAGCAGTTCTTTAGCCAAGCAGTGGGAAATAAATTAATAGGCAAGGAAGACGACCCTCTCTTCCCCTCCACCCCCCCTCCTCCTTCTGCAACCCTCAATCAATCACACCCGGTCGTAGCCCCCCTCCCCCCCCCTCCCCGCTAACCCCCTCTTTCTCAGAACTCTCGTCTCTTCTCAAACTTAACCTGCACCTCTTCCTCCTCACAGTGAATTAGTCCTCCAACCACTGCTTTTATGCCCAGTGTCCTGGTCTTAAGATCAGGGCGCATATGCCTGGTCGTACGCCCTGCGCCCTGGTCTTATGCCAAGCGCTTCGGTCGTACGCCCAGCGCCCTGGTCGCTCTGCTCTCACCCCCACTACCCATGAGGTGGGTGGGGGTCGTGGGTGTGGATGTGAGGTGGGTGGAGGTCATCCAGGTGTGGATGTGAGGTGGGTGGAGGTCATCCAGGTGTGGATGTGAGGTGGGTGTGAGGTCATCCAGGTGTGGATGTGAGGTGGGTGGAGGTCATCCAGGTGTGGATGTGAGGTGGGTGTGAGGTCATCCAGGTGTGGATGTGAGGTGGGTGGAGGTCATCCAGGTGTGGATGTGAGGTGGGTGTGAGGTCATCCAGGTGTGGATGTGAGGTGGGTGGAGGTCATCCAGGTGTGGATGTGAGGTGGGTGTGAGGTCATCCAGGTGTGGATGTGAGGTGGGTGGAGGTCATCCAGGTGTGGATGTGAGGTGGGTGGAGGTCATCCAGGTGTGGATGTGAGGTGGGTGGAGGTCATCCAGGTGTGGATGTGAGGTGGGTGTGAGGTCATCCAGGTGTGGATGTGAGGTGGGTGGAGGTCATCCAGGTGTGGATGTGAGGTGGGTGTGAGGTCATCCAGGTGTGGATGTGAGGTGGGTGGAGGTCATCCAGGTGTGGATGTGAGGTGGGTGGAGGTCATCCAGGTGTGGATGTGAGGTGGGTGGAGGTCATCCAGGTGTGGATGTGAGGTGGGTGGAGGTCATCCAGGTGTGGATGTGAGGTGGGTGGAGGTCATCCAGGTGTGGATGTGAGGTGGGTGGAGGTCATCCAGGTGTGGATGTGAGGTGGGTGGAGGTCATCCAGGTGTGGATGTGAGGTGGGTGGAGGTCATCCAGGTGTGGATGTGAGGTGGGTGGAGGTCACTCCGCTTTAAACTCCCAGCCGTCTCTTGTGTGAAATATTAGCCACCCCCACACGACCCCCACACGACCCCCACGACCTCCTCCAGCACTCGCCATTATTAAAGATGTTGGAGAGGGGGGGGGGAGATGGAGCGGGACTTGAAGGGAGGGGGAGGAAATGAGAGAGAACAGAAAGAACGAGGGGACGAAAAAGAAAGGAAGGGGGGAAGGGAAGAGGGATGGTAGGGTAAACAGCCAGCCTTCAGCGTAATTCCGTTCAGCAGTTGCCTCTTGAACCAGCGGGCCGGGCCGCGCATATTGCCGGCCCGGGGCGAGCTGGGTAATAAGTATTCTAATAACAAGAGGCAAAATACAAGTAGGGAGTTACCGTTTGGGTGAGGGAGGGAGGTGGCCTTCCTCAACCCATCCCCCCTCACCCTTGTTCCTCCCCCACCACCGGTCCTTCCCTATCCGTGCTCATCCTCCCCCACCTATCCCCCAAACCCCACCCGTGCTCATCCACCCATCGTTCTCCCTCATCACCCGTTACATCCCCTCATCACCCGTAACCCCTCACAACCCCCTCATCGCCAACTCACCGCCTGTCAATGCTCATCACTCCCAGATTAATCAACATGAAAAAGTCAATATCAGAAACGTCCAGAAAACTGGCCTATTAGAGTGATTAATTACAGTGAGAGAATATGGTTACTAACGGGTAGGGGTGTGAGGTGTCATGGGAGGGGGTCTGGGGGTCAGGGACGGTGTGAGGGCAGGTCATGGGTGTGAGGTTAGGGCAGTGTGTGAGGGTATGAGGTCAGGGGCAGGTGCGGGGCCATCCTCCCCCCCCCTCCCATCCTCCCTTAATACACATTAGGAGGGGTACTCGGCGGTGCCCGGGTGTTCTTCCTCACTCCTCATTTACGACCTTTCATACCCCCCCCTCTCTTCCCCCTCCCATACTTATCCCCCTCTCTTCCATTTCGTAAAATATAATATTAGGGAGCAGTGAAACTGCTGTTTGGGTCTTAGGGAAATAATTTTTCCTGTTGCCGAAAAACGTTTCTGACACCTCAACTAATATTTCACACTTGATATATTTGAATCCGTAAAAATCGGATGCTGCTGTCAATAATTACTAATATTTCTTAAAACTACCCCTGACCAGCCTATGTCCGCCCTTTACCCCACACCATTTCCCCTGCAAATTTGGATTAGCCTGGCCCCAAGCATCTGGCTTCCAACTTTGGACAGACATTCTCTCTAATAGTATAAATTACCAAAAATTTGAAAATGAAAGTTGAAATAATAAAGAATAGTTCGAGACTGTGACGCTGATTGAAAAAGTTGACGGTTGTTGACATACAGAGTCTGTTCTGCCATTATCAATTCGCTATTTAACGAAATAACAAGGAACTAGAATTTAATTAGATTTATGCAATAAAACACAAAACTCATAATAACCGGTGTGGTATAGGTAATTAGCAGGTTAAGTTAGGTTTAAAAGACAATTATAACGAATTTTAAATGTTTTATATATTTTTTCCCCGTAATCCCAAACGCAAAAATGTGCACTAGATATTTATATTCCGAGGCATCGGCTTTCAGGAAAGTCAAATAACAAATAAGGCCACGAACACCTCGGACAAATACCCAATCTTGCATAAACGACAAAAAACACCAAACATGCAACCAGCTTAATTAACAGTCATCACGCCTGACCGTCTTCACCTTGAAGCAAGAACCACCATTACCAGGGGACAGGCGCCTGGCGGGTTACCCAGCCCTAATCCCGTCATGACATGAACACGCTCTACATCAACATACAACCTAACAACATATAGCATTTGTTTTATGTGTAATACAATGTATGACCTCTAATGTATGTGACAACATTAGGGGTCACATACTCCCCCACGTCTGGGAGTGTGTGTGACGGTGACTCCCAAACATCTTGGGGTCACTCACACACTCCCAAACATCTTGGGGTCACTCTCACACACTCCCAAACATCTTGGGGTCACTCACACACACTCCCAAACATCTTGGGGTCACTCACACACACTCCCAAACATCTTGGGGTCACTCTCACACACTCGCAAACATCTTGAGGTCACTCTCACACTCCCAAACATCTGGGGTCGCACATCTGTCACACGTTAGAGAAAGTCACACCCATACATTAAGGGGTTTCACACGCACACTCTCACATATCAGGGGTCACACACATCAGGGGAGGTCACCCAAACTCCGAACACAATGTAAGTCACATTCACCAACATCAGAGGAGGTCACATACACCTCCACACATTAAGGGGGGCCCCCACACATACACACAGTGGGATCATTCACACACCCCCACACATTAGGGGGTACATATATACTCCACCCATCATGGGGGGGGGGGGCGTCACATGCTCCCACACATCAGGGGATCACTCACTCCTACACACCAGTTAGGGATCACACCAGACATCAGGAGTTAGCGCGCACACACACACATACATCAGGGGATCACACGTCAGTGGAGTTACACATCAGAGGGGAGCACACTCCCACATACCAGGGGAGCCATGCATCAGGGAGGGAGGGACTCACCTCTGCTGGATCCTGACGAGGGTGTCCTGGGCTTCCAACAGCTGGGCGATCTGCCGCTCCAGGTCTCCAGCCTCCTTCCGGAGGGCCTCGTACCGGTTCCTAGAGGAGAGCGCCGCTAGCCGGTCCAGGATGAGCTCATTCCTGAGAGGGACGGGCGGGGGAGGCTCCTGTGAGAAGAGAAGAGAGGGGAACAGGTGTAATGTACCGCATCGCTGTAACAGGTGTTCTAGGGGTAATACCATACCAACTATTTGGCAGGTGTCTGGGACAGGGCTTAACTGCTCAGAGCTCTGAGGGTCGTAATCTCTAGCGACTCAACTCTTATTGTTAGAAGATGAAAATTGGAATTAGGCAATCACCATGAAAATAAGTTCATCTGCAGGTGGCATATTGGCCCATGCGATGTGTCTCCTCTGTACATCCTGCCACTCCTGCTAATGTATTTGTCAATCCTGCCACTCAGTTACCCTCCGTGAAGGTACTCTGATGGGTCAATACATCCACATGCCTGCTGACGATCCAATGTTGATTTATTTACAGTATTTTCTAAAATCTCTATTAATCCAATATGACTCCCATGTCTTGTGAACTATTAGATTGATCTCTGTAAAGCTCTTCATTCAGGTGTACACTTCAATTAAGAACCCCCCCCCCCCTATAACTTTACGCCGTCAAACGACATGTTAAGTAGTTAAGCTTTACAAAAGAATCCTATTCATTGCTGTAAATAACTTGGTTACCTTTGTATATCATAGAAATAATTTAAATTCTTTCTTAGAGGCCAAAGACGAACTGTATAACAAAAGTGGCTTCGAAAGGGCACGATAACGTTGTATAATAATACAAGGGCAGGGTGAAACGATTGGGCAACGACCCTTCACTGTTCGTCTCTGTGTACCCAACAGTAGCGTGGTTATAGAAAGATTATTGGATCGAGTTCTAGGCAAAACAACTTGGGTTAAGTCTTCATATCGAATGTGGAAGGGAGACCTCTTAGCCCGCAAGCAATATTAAGACGAATTTTGCTCCTGTACCCTCTCTAAAGTGAAGACAAAAAAACATGAAATCTTCCACTTCCTCATATGACACATATGACTTGTGGTCATACTTTGAACATTTATGCAGTGTTCTCCTGGAACACTAATGTATTGTTCTCTTCATTTTACGTTCTTGCTAATTGTGATTTCCAGAACATTTTGTCAATTAGATGTCGCAGCCTTGCCGCTGTGTTGCCGATATCTGACTGTCGTTTCCTTCACCTGGCTCGGAAGAATTCTTTGGCTAAAATATCCTCCCGAAATTTTGCTGTTTATTTGTCTTAATTTGTTACTCTAATGACGAGGTCCCCAGCGAGTCCTTGAAGCACCCCAGAAAAGAGTCAAGTCCTACAGCAAAGTGGGACTTTCCAAAGTGCAAAACTTCGAATCCATTGAAAATTGACGAGGTTCCCAGCAATGTATAGAGGCCCTCAAGAAGATGACAAGATCCCCAGCAAGGTGCCGACAGCCTGTCTCCCACCAAGGTGTCGACAAGCTGCCAACACGGTGTCGACAAACCCCCAGCACGGTGTCGACAGGCCCCCAACAAGGTGTCGACAAGCCCCCCCCTCCCCAAAGACTCCAGGCTTGCAGTGATGGGTCGAGTACACTCTTTCTCGCAACTCCGTAACCTCCATCACACTGAGGTTCACTGGGCCCTCAGCTGGTTTGTGAGAGTGTGGCTCCTTTAACGCTCCTGCTCCCCTGCTGCTGCTGGTGCTGCTGCTCCTGGAGACGACGGCCTCGTGGCCCACCAGCGGCTGGGGGAGAGGAGGGAAGAAATACTGTGCGGGGTAAGTGCTGCCTCTACTTGATATGCTCCCCCGTGTTGTCATACAAGTTTACAGGGAGCGAGAGAGGGAGGGAGCCAGGGAGCGAGGGAGGGAGGGAGCCAGGGAACGAGAGAGAGAGAGAGAGAGAGAGAGAGAGAGAGAGAGAGAGAGAGAGAGAGAGAGAGAGAGAGAGAGAGAGAGACAGACAGACAGACAGAAGATGGAAAAACAAACGATGTAAGAGAGGAAATCACGTAAAGGACATTATACATATATATATATGTATATATATATGTATATATATATATATATATATATATATATATATATATATATATATATATATATATATATATATATACAAAATGTGTATGAACACTTACACATACACACAGTTTCTTTCGACAAATGCACTTGTTCGCCTAGCAGTAAATAGTCACCTGGGAGTCAAATAGCTTCTATGGACTGCATCCTCGGAATGTGTGTGGGGTAGGGGGGTGGGGGAGTTGTGTACTCACCTAGATGTACTCACCTAGTTATTGCGGGGTATGACCATCGGCTCTTTAGTCCCGTCTCTCAACTATCAACCGGTTGATATATATATATATATATATATATATATATATATATATATATATATATATATATATATATATATATATATATATATATATATGTCGTACCTAGTAGCCAGAACTCACTTCTCAGCCTACTATGCAAGGCCCAATTTGCCTAATAAGCCTAGTTTTCATGAATTAATGTTTTTTCGACAACCTAATCTACCTAACCTAACCTAACCTAACGTTTTCGGCTACCTAACCTAACCTATAAAGATAGGTTAGGTTAGGTTAGGTAGGGTTGGTTAGGTTCGGTCATATATCTACGTTAATTTTAACTCCAATAAAAAAAAATTGACCTCATACATAATGAAATGGGTAGCTTTATCATTTCATAAGAAAAAAATTAGAGAAAATATATTAATTCAGTAAAACTTGGCTTATTAGGCAAATCGGGCCTCGCATAGTAGGCTGAGAAGTGAGTTCTGGCTACTAGGTACGACATATATATATATATATATATATATATATATATATATATATATATATATATATATATATATATATATATATATATATATATATATATGTGTGTGTGTGTGTGTGTGTGTGTTAGAGAGAAATATATGTAGTAGATATGATATAGAAATATCGGTCAGTAGTCAGTACACTACACAACTGAATTTTAGAAAGGCAGGGTCCCAAAGCTAACAGGTCGATCCTGCAAGCACAATTAGTTAACACACACACACACACACACACACACACACACACACACACACACACACACACACACACACACACACATACACACAGTGGACAAAGACAGAATATTTAGCATGAGTGGAACACGAACAAGGGGACACAGTTGGAAACGTAGTAACCAGATGAGCCACAGAGACATTATACAAACATTATTACACTGCCAGAGTAGTTAACAAATGAAATGCATTAGGCAGTGATGTGGAGGAGGCTGACTCCATACACAGTTTCAAATGTAGATTTGATAGAGCCCAATAGGCTACAGAATCTGTACACCAGTTGACAGTTGAGAGGCGGGACCAAAGAGCCAAAGCTCAACCCTCGCAAGCACAACTAGGTGAGTACACACAGAGGTAGGTCGTTAGTCTAAAGGGAAGGGGGGGGGGCGGGGAGTGAGAGTTGGTCCTCCAACTGCTCGTTAACAAAGATTGGGCGTGAGGGGCGTGGCCTGCCCCTCACACACACACACACACACACACACACACACACACACACACACACACACACACACACAGTTTTAGTGGCAGCAGTTGGTACTGTGACGGGTGAGTGGGTACATTTCAGACAGGAGAGGAGAGTAAGACTTGCACAACACAAGGGATGATAGACTACGTAACACGCACACTCACATAAGCTACAGAGAGGTTCACACCACCACTGAAGGTTCCTCAGTGATCAAGAGACTGATGGCGTCACCAGGCATTACTGACGACACCAAACACCAGGTTGGTGCGACGCTTTACGTCGTAGAGTCACTTATTAACACATTGTGCCAGTGGGACAAGGACAACAATGGGACCACCAGTCCCACGGAAGAACACCACCACCACCACCTTATTGGCCGCTGCTGACTCAAGGAACATTAGGTTTCTCAGTTGGAATATTCGTAGCATCAACAAAAGACTGGATGACCTAATTGCACATGTCACCAGTAACAACATAGATATAATTGCTGTATTGGAGCCCCTTCACGTCCAACATGATAAACAGGTAAATAGTCTGTATACAGACAATGAGCAAAAATCTCTTGAAACCTTGCAAAATGAAGCTATGCGTCTCATCCTTGGGGCTCCAAACTCCACGAGAATAGTTAACTCTCATAGTTAAAATTACCTACCATAAGTGAGAGAATTTTGTCCATTAGCACAGTTTTCGGCGTGAAGGCATTGAGTAGATCTCGGCAACACATAAAATTTCAAGCTAAACTTTCTAATATGCTATACTCACCTGAGGTCTATAGAAGAGCGAAATCTGATTATGCATTTTGGTTCTAGAAGGTAGCCAACCCTGTCAAAATATTAAATATGTACCCAATTCAATTAATGATCAATCAACCAATTAATCTATGGGACAACTGGGATCTATCAGTTGATTTTGTAAACGCACCCAAGAAGGATAGTGTACACTCTACATTATTAAAACAGTTAACACTGAAAAGCATCACTGAGAGTACTCAGGGTATGGGTAACGATGTGTATCAGTGCTATACCGACGGCTCTGTAGAATAAGGTGGAATATGTGCCGGATGTGTATGTAATATATTTAAACAATCTTCTCTCGTACATACAGCAATGAAGCGCGTAAATGATTGGGCAAGTACAATTCAAACTGAGCAAGCAGTTACAGTGGCCAGAATACGCCTGGGATATAGACGTATCTGGCAGCTTTCTCAAAACCCAAATGTTGAGTACACAATGTGTCAACTTTGTGAAAGAGAAAACATGCACTCACTTGAACATTATATTGTAGAATGTCCCATATTGACTGACTGTCGCCCTCCTGGGCTGAGGTATGCTGAACTGTGTAAATACTATATGAATACTGGAACACTTGAGGATATATTGGACTTGTACTCAAGATTGACTATGTAATACATCTGTTATACAATATTATGTGCCTATACGATATGTAATAAATCTGTTATACAATGCATGTACCTATAACCTGAGCTTGTAAAAGCATCTTAATCACCTTCAGTGGTTAAGTGTTTAATATCACACTAGTTTCTACAGAAGCTATCTTACCCTGTCAAAGTAGG